TAGTGTGTGTGTATGTATGTAGTGTGTGTGTATGTATGTAGTGTGTGTGTATGTGTGTAGTGTGTGTGTATGTGTGTAGTGTGTGTGTATGTGTGTAGTGTGTGTGTATGTGTGTAGTGTGTGTGTATGTATGTAGTGTGTGTGTATGTGTGTAGTGTGTGTGTATAGTGTGTGTAGTGTGTGTGTATGTGTGTGTATGTGTGTAGTGTGTGTGTATGTGTGTAGTGTGTGTGTATGTGTGTAGTGTGTGTGTATGTGTGTAGTGTGTGTGTATGTGTGTAGTGTGTGTGTATGTGTGTGTGTGTGTGTATGTGTGTAGTGTGTGTGTATGTGTGTAGTGTGTGTGTATGTGTGTAGTGTGTGTGTAGTGTGTGTGTGTATGTAGGTGTGTATGTGTGTTTATAGGTGTGTGTATGTGTGTAGTGTGTGTGTATGTGTGTAGTGTGTGTGTAGTGTGTGTGTATGTATGTAGTGTGTGTGTATGTGTGTAGTGTGTGTGTATGTGTGTAGTGTGTGTGTATGTGTGTAGTGTGTGTGTATGTGTGTAGTGTGTGTGTAGTGTGTGTGTATGTATGTAGTGTGTGTGTATGTATGTAGTGTGTGTGTATGTGTGTAGTGTGTGTGTATGTGTGTAGTGTGTGTGTATGTGTGTAGTGTGTGTGTATGTGTGTAGTGTGTGTGTATGTATGTAGTGTGTGTGTATGTGTGTAGTGTGTGTGTATAGTGTGTGTAGTGTGTGTGTATGTGTGTGTATGTGTGTAGTGTGTGTGTATGTGTGTAGTGTGTGTGTATGTGTGTAGTGTGTGTGTATGTGTGTAGTGTGTGTGTATGTGTGTAGTGTGTGTGTATGTGTGTGTGTGTGGTATGTGTGTAGTGTGTTGTGTATGTGTGTAGTGTGTGTGTATGTGTGTAGTGTGTGTGTATGTGTGTGTTGTATGTAGGTGTGTATGTGTGTTTATAGGTGTGTGTATGTGTGTAGTGTGTGTAGTGTGTGTGTAGTGTGTGTTAGTGTGTGTGTATGTATGTAGTGTGTGTGTATGTATGTAGTGTGTGTGTAGGTGTGTGTGTATGTAGGTGTGTGTATGTGTGTGGTGTGTGTGTATGTGTGTAGTGTGTGTGTATGTGTGTAGTGTGTGTGTAGTGTGTGTGTATTGTATGTAGTGTGTGTGTATGTGTGTATGGGGTGTGTGTGTATGTGTGTAGTGTGTGTGTATGTGTGTATGTGTGTGTATGTGTGTATGTATGTAGTGTGTGTGTAGTGTGTGTGTATGTATGTAGTGTGGTGTATGTGTGTAGTGTGTGTGTGTATGTATGTAGTGTGTGTGTAGTGTGTGTAGTATGTAGTGTGTGTGTATGTGTGTAGTGTGTGTGTAGTGTGTGTGTATGTATGTAGTGTGTGTGTATGTGTGTAGTGTGAGTGTAGTGTGTGTGTATGTATGTAGTGTGTGTGTATGTATGTAGTGTGTGTGTATGTGTGTAGTGTGTGTGTATGTGTGTAGTGTGTGTGTATGTGTGTAGTGTGTGTGTATGTATGTAGTGTGTGTGTATGTGTGTAGTGTGTGTGTATGTGTGTAGTGTGTGTGTATGTGTGTAGTGTGTGTGTATGTGTGTAGTGTGTGTGTATGTGTGTAGTGTGTGTGTATGTATGTAGTGTGTGTGTATGTGTGTAGTGTGTGTGTATGTATGTAGTGTGTGTGTATGTGTGTAGTGTGTGTGTATGTGTGTAGTGTGTGTGTATGTGTGTAGTGTGTGTGTATGTGTGTAGTGTGTGTGTATGTGTGTAGTGTGTGTGTATGTGTGTAGTGTGTGTGTATGTGTGTATTGTGTGTTGTGTAGTGTGTGTGTATGTGTGTAGTGTGTGTGTATGTGTGTAGTGTGTGTGTATGTGTGTAGTGTGTGTGTATGTGTGTAGTGTGTGTGTATGTGTGTAGTGTGTGTGTATGTGTGTAGTGTGTGTGTATGTGTGTAGTGTGTGTGTATGTGTGTAGTGTGTGTGTATGTGTGTAGTGTGTGTGTATGTGTGTAGTGTGTGTGTATGTGTGTAGTGTGTGTGTATGTGTGTAGTGTGTGTGTATGTGTGTAGTGTGTGTGTATGTGTGTAGTGTGTGTGTATGTGTGTAGTGTGTGTGTATGTGTGTAGTGTGTGTGTATGTGTGTAGTGTGTGTGTATGTGTGTAGTGTGTGTGTATGTGTGTAGTGTGTGTGTATGTGTGTAGTGTGTGGTGTATGTGTGTAGTGTGTGTGTATGTGTGTAGTGTGTGTGTATGTGTGTAGTGTTGTGGTATGTGTGTAGTGTGTGTGTCTAGTGTGTAGTGTGTGTGTATGTGTGTAGTGTGTGTGTATGTGTGTAGTGTGTGTGTATGTATGTAGTGTGTGTGTATGTATGTAGTGTGTGTGTATGTGTGTAGTGTGTGTGTATGTGTGTAGTGTGTGTGTATGTGTGTAGTGTGTGTGTATGTGTGTAGTGTGTGTGTATGTGTGTGTGTATGTGTGTAGTGTGTGTGTATGTGTGTAGTGTGTGTAGTGTGTGTGTAGTGTGTGTGTAGTGTGTGTATGTGTGTAGTGTGTGTAGTGTGTGTGTAGTGTGTGTAGTGTGTGTGTATGTGTGTAGTGTGTGTGTAGTGTGTGTGTATGTGTGTAGTGTGTGTGTAGTGTGTGTGTAGTGTGTGTGTGTGTAGTGTGTGTAGTGTGTGTGTAGGTGTTGCGTGTAGGGTGTTGTCGAGGGAGGAGCAGGAGGGGATTTCAGAGCGGTGCGAGGGGTTCACGAGGAGTCGATCGGGGCCCTTGGAGCATTCCCCTCCTCCTCCACCTCCTCCACCTCCTCCTCCACCTCCACCTCCTCCTCCACCTCCTCCACCTCCTCCACCACCTCCTTCCCCCTCCACCTCCTCCTCCACCTCCACCTCCTCCTCCACCTCCTCCACCTCCTCCTCCACCTCCTCCACCTCCTCCTCCACCTCCTCCACCTCCTCCACCTCCTCCTACTCCTCCTCCTCCACCTCCTCCTCCACCTCCTCCACCTCCTCCTACTCCTCCTCCTCCTCCACCTCCTCCACCTCCTCCACCTCCTCCTCCTTCACCTACTCCTCCACCTCCTCCACCTCCTCCTCCTCCACCTCCTCCTCCTCCTCCTCCTCCTCCACCTCCTCCTCCACCTCCTCCACCTCCTCCTCCTCCTCCTCCTCCTCCACCTCCTCCTCCACCTCCTCCACCTCCACCTCCTCCTCCTCCACCTCCTCCTCCACCTCCTCCACCACCTCCACCTCCTCCTCCTCCACCACCTCCTCCACCTCCACCTCCTCCTCCACCTCCTCCTCCACCTCCTCCACCTCCTCCTCCTCCTCCTCCTCCTCCTCCTCCTCCACCTCCACCTCCTCCTCCTCCTCCACCTCCGCCTCCTCCTCCACCTCCTCCTCCACCTCCTCCTCCTCCACCTCCTCCTCCTCCTCCTCCTCCTCCACCTCCTCTTCCACCTCCGCTTCCTCCTCCACCTCCTCCACCTCCTCCTCCACCTCCTCCACCTCCTCCTCCAACTCCTCCTCCACCTCCACCTCCTCCTCCACCTCCTCCACCTCCTCCTCCTCCACCTCCTCCTCCACCTCCTCCTCCACCTCCTCCTACTCCTCCTCCACCTCCTCCTCCTCCTCCTCCAACTCCTCCTCCACCTCCTCCTCCACCTCCTCCTCCTCCTCCACCTCCTCCGCCTCCTCCTCCACCTCCTCCACCTCCTCCACCTCCTCCACCACCTCCTCCTCCTCCACCTCCTCCTCCACCTCCTCCTCCACCTCCTCCACCTCCTCCTCATCCTCTCCCTCCACCTCCTCCCCCTCCACTCCCTCTTCCCCCTCCTCCTCCACCTCCTCCACCTCCTCCTCCACCTCCTCCTCATCCTCTCCCTCCACCTCCTCCCCCTCCACTCCCTCCTCCCCCTCCCCCCATATCTCATTCATTATTGAGAGGCGCCTCTCATCCCGTCTCTTGGGCACGTGGCGATTAGAGCCCCTCCCCCTCCACCCCCCCTCCACTCTGCCTCCACCCCCCTCCACCCCCATCGCTGTCCCTCCACTCTCCCTACACTCCCCGCTCTTCCACACAGAGAGTCAGAGAGACTCCCCACCACCACCACCACCACATCCCAAGCCATTACTCTTCACTACACTACCCTACTATACACTACACTACTATACACTACACTACTATACACTACCCTATTACACTACTATACACTACTATACACTAGCCTACTATATACTACACTACTATACACTCCCCTACTATACACTACACTACTATACACTACACTACTATACACTACACTACTATACACTACACTACTATACACTACACTACTATACACTACACTACTATATACTATACTACTATACACTACTATACACTACACTACTACACTACTATACACTACCCTACTATACACTACACTACTATATACAATACACTACTATACACGACACTACTATACACTACACTATACACTACTATACACTACAGTACTATATACAATACAGTACTATACACTACACTACTATACACTACCCTACTATATACACTACACTACTATACACTACACTACTGCACAGACTACATTACTATACACTACACTACTATACAATACACTATACACTATACACTACACTATACACTACACTATACACTACACTATACACTACACTATACACTACACCATACACTACTATATACACTACACTACTATACACTACACTACTATACACTACACTACTATACACTACACTACTGCACAGACTACATTACTATACACTACACTATACACTACACTACTATACACTACACTATACACTACACTATACACTACACTATACACTACACTATACACTACACTATACACTACTATATACACTACACTACTATACACTACACTACTATACACTACACTACTGCACAGACTACATTACTATACACTACACTATACACTACACTACTATACACTACACTATACACTACACTATACACTACACTGCTATCTCACCTCTACAGAACGTCAACATCGTCAAGGTAAGACTGGTTATAATAATGGTGGTGGTGCTGTTGAAGACGCCGCTTATGGTGGTGATGATGGTGATGGTGGTGATGATGATAGTGGTGATGGTGGTGATGGTGATGATGTTGCTAATGATGATAGTGGTGATGGTGGTGATGTTGCTAATGATGATAGTGGTGATGGTGATGATGTTGCTAATGATGATAGTGGTGATGGTGATGATGTTGCTAATGATGATAGTGGTGATGGTGATGGTGGTGATGATGATAGTGGTGATGGTGGTGATGGTGATGATGTTGCTAATGATGATAGTGGTGATGGTGGTGATGGTGATGATGTTGCTAATGATGATAGTGGTGATGGTGATGATGTTGCTAATGGTGATAGTGGTGATGGTGGTAATGGTGGTGATGTTGCTAATGATCATAGTGGTGATGGTGGTGATGGTGGTGATGTTGCTAATGATGATAGTGGTGATGGTGGTGATGATGTTAATGATGATGGTGGTGATGGTGATGATGTTGCTAGTGATGATGGTGGTGGTGATGGTGATGATGTTGATAATGATGATAGTGGTGATGGTGGTGATGGTGATGATGTTGTTAATGATGATGGTGGTGATGGTGGTGATGTTGCTAATGATGATAGTGGTGATGGTGGTGATGGTGATGATGTTGTTAATGATGATGGTGGTGATGGTGATGATGTTGCTAATGATGATAGTGGTGATGGTGGTGATGGTGGTGATGTTGCTAATGATGATAGTGGTGATGGTGGTGATGATGTTGATAATGATGATAGTCGTGATGGTGGTGATGGTGATGATGTTGCTAATGATGATAGTGGTGATGGTGGTGATGGTAATGATGTTCTTAATGATGATGGTGGTGATGGTGATGATGTTGCTAATGACGATAGTGGTTTTAGTGGTGATGGTGGTGATGGTGATGATGTTGCTAATGATAGTGGTGATGGTGGTGATGGTGGTGATGGTGATGATTTTGCTAATGATGATAGTGGTGATGGTGGTGATGGTAATGATGTTGCTAATGATGATAGTGGTGATGGTGATGATGTTGCTAATGATGATAGTGGTGATAGTGGTGATGGTGGTGATGTTGCTAATGATGATAGTGGTGATGGTGGTGAAGATGTTGCTAATGATGATAATGATGATAGTGGTGATGGTGGTGATGTTGTTAATGATGATAGTGGTGATGGTGATGATGTAGCTAATGATGATAGTGGTGATGGTGGTGATGGTGGTGATGGTGATGATGTTGTTAATGATGATGGTGGTGATGATGTTGCTAATAATGATAGTGGTGATGGTGGTGATGGTGATGATTTTGCTAATGATGATAGTGGTGATGGTGGTGATGGTAATGATGTTGTTAATGATGATGGTGGTGATGGTGATGATGTTGCTAATGATGATAGTGGTGATGGTGGTGATGGTGGTGATGGTGATGATGTTGTTAATGATGATGGTGGTGATTATGTTGCTAATAATGATAGTGGTGATGGTGGTGATGGTGATGATGTTGCTAATGATGATAGTGGTGATGGTGGTGATGGTGATGATGATGTTGCTAATGGTGATGGTGGTGATGGTGGTGATGATGATGGTGATGATGGTGATGATGGTGGTGATGGTGATTATGTTGCTAATGGTGATAGCGGTGATGGTGGTGATGGTGGTGATGTTGCTAATGATCATAGTGGTGATGGTGGTGATGATGTTGTTAATGATGATGGTGGCGATGGTGGTGATGTTGCTAATGATGATAGTGGTGATGGTGGTGATGGTGGTGATGTTGCTAATGATGATGGTGGTGATGGTGATGATGTTGCTAATGATGATAGTGGTGATGGTGGTGATGGTGATGATGTGGTTAATGATGATGGTGGTGATGATGGTGATGTTGCTAATGATGATAGTGGTGATGGTGGTGATGGTGATCATGTTGTTAATGATGATAGTGGTGATGGTGATGATGTTGCTAATGATGATAGTGGTGGTGATGGTGGTGATGTTGCTAATGATGATAGTGATGATGGTGGTGATGGTGGTGATGGTGGTGATGGTGATGATGTTGCTAATGATGATAGTCGTGATGGTGGTGATGGTGATGATGTTGCTAATGATGATAGTGGTGATGGTGTTGATGGTAATGATTTTGTTAATGATGATGTTGGTGATGATGTTGCTAATGATGATAGTGGTGTTAGTGGTGATGGTGGTGATGGTGATGATGTTGCTAATGATGATAGTGGTGATGGTGGTGATGGTGGTGATGGTGATGATGTTGCTAATGATGATAGTAGTGATGGTGGTGATGGTAATGATGTTGCTAATGATGATAGTGGTGATGGTGATGATGGTGATGATGTTGCTACTGATGATAGTGGTGATGGTGATGGTGGTGATGATGTTGCTAATGGTGATAGTGGTGATGGTGGTGAAGATGTTGCTAATGATGATAGTGGTGATGGTGGTGATGGTGATAATGTGGTTAATTATGATGGTGGTGATGGTGATGATGTTGCTAATGATGACAGTGGTGATGGTGGTGATGCTGATGATGATGTTGCTAATGATGATGGTGGTGGTGATGGTGGTGATGATGATGGTGATGGTGGCGATGATGATGGTGGTGATGGTGATGATGTTGCTAATGGTGATAGTGGTGATGGTGATGATGTTGCTAATGATGATAGTGGTGATGGTGGTGATGTTGCTAATGATGATAGTGGTGATGGTGGTGATGGTGATGATGGTGATGATGTTGCTAATGATGATGGTGGTGATGGTTGTGATGTTGCTAATGATGATAGTGGTGATGGTGATGATGGTGGTGATGTTGCTAATGATGATAGTGGTGGTGGTGGTGGTGATGGTGATGATGGTGATGATGTTGCTAATGATGATGGTGCTAATGATGATGGTGGTGATGGTTGTGATGTTGCTAATGATGATAGTGGTGATGGTGGTGATGGTGATGATGTTGCTAATGATGATAGTGGTGATGGTGGTGATGATGATAGTGGTGATAGTGGTGATGGTGGTGATGGTGGTGATGTTGCTAATGATGATAGTGGTGATGGTGGTGATGATGTTGTTAATGATAATGGTGGTAATGGTGATTATGTTGCTAATGATGATAGTGGTGATGGTGATGATGTTGCTAATGATGATAGTGGTGATGGTGGTGATGTTGCTAATGATGATAGTGGTGATGGTGATGATGTTGCTAATGATGATAGTTGTGATGGTGGTGATGGTGATGATGTTGCTAATGATGATAGTGGTGATGGTAATGATTTTGTTAATGATGATGTTGGTGATGGTGATGATGTTGCTAATGATGATAGTGGTGTTAGTGGTGATGGTGGTGATGGTGATGATGTTGCTAATGATGATAGTGGTGATGGTGGTGATGGTGATGATGTTGCCAATGATGATAGTAGTGATGGTGGTGATGGTAATGATGTTCTTAATGATGATGGTGGTGATGGTGATGATGTTGCTAATGATGATAGTGGTGATGGTGGTGATGGTGATGATGTTGCCAATGATGATAGTAGTGATGGTGGTGATGGTAATGATGTTCTTAATGATGATGGTGGTGATGGTGATGATGTTGCTAATGATGATAGTGGTGATGGTGGTGATGGTGATGATGTTGCTAATGATGATAGTGGTGATGGTAGTGATGTTGCTAATGATGATAGTGGTGGTGATGGTGATGGTGATGATGGTGATGATGTTGCTAATGATGATGGTGGTGATGGTTGTGATGTTGCTAATGATGATAGTGGTGATGCTGATGATGGTGGTGATGTTGCTAATGATGATAGTGGTGGTGGTGGTGATGATGGTGATGATGTTGCTAATGATGATGGTGGTGATGGTTGTGATGTTGCTAATGATGATAGTGGTGATGGTGGTGATGGTGGTGATGTTGCTAATGATGATAGTGGTGATGGTGGTGATGATGGTGATGATGATAGTGGTGATAGTGGTGATGGTGGTGATGTTGCTAATGATGATAGAGGTGATGGTGGTGATGGTGATGATGTTGTTAATGATAATAGTGGTAATGGTGATTATGTTGCTAATGATGATAGTGGTGATGGTGATGATGTTGCTAATGATGATAGTGGTGATGGTGGTGATGTTGCTAATGATGATAGCGGTGATGGTGATGATGTTGCTAATGATGATAGTTGTGATGGTGGTGATGGTGATGATGTTGCTAATGATGATAGTGGTGATGGTAATGATTTTGTTAATGATGATGTTGGTGATGGTGATGATGTTGCTAATGATGATAGTGGTGTTAGTGGTGATGGTGGTGATGGTGATGATGTTGCTAATGATGATAGTGGTGATGGTGGTGATGGTGGTGATGGTGATGATGCTGCCAATGATGATAGTAGTGATGGTGGTGATGGTAATGATGTTGTTAATGATGATGGTGGTGATGGTGATGATGTTGCTAATGATGACAGTGGTGATGGTGGTGATGGTGATGATGTTGCTAATGATGATAGTGGTGATGGTAGTGATGTTGCTAATGATGATAGTGGTGGTGATGGTGACGATGGTGGTGATGTTGTTAATGATGATAGTCGTGATGGTGGTGATGGTGATGATGTTGCTAATGATGATAGTGGTGATGGTGGTGATGTTGCTAATGATGATAGTGGTGGTGATGGTGATGATGGTGATGATGTTGTTAATGATGATGGTGGTGATGGTGATGATGTTGCTAATGATGATAGTGGGGATGGTGATGGTGATGATGGTGGTGATGGTGGTGATGGTGATGTTGCTAATGATGATAGTAGTGATGGTGGTGATGGTGGTGATGATGATTGTGGTGATAGTGGTGATGGTGGTGATGGTGATGTTGCTAATGATGATAGTGGTGATGGTGGTGATGATGGTGATGATGATTGTGGTGATAGTGGTGATGGTGGTGATGGTGGTGATGTTGCTAATGATGATAGTGGTGATGGTGGTGATGGTGATGATGTTGTTAATGATGATGGTGGTAATGGTGATGATGCTGCTAATGATGATAGTGGTGATGGTGGTGATGGTGGTGATGTTGCTAATGATGATAGTGGTGATGGTGGTGATGTTGCTAATGATGATAGCGGTGATGGTGATGATGGTGGTGATGTTGCTAATGATGATAGTGGTGATGGTGATGATGTTGCTAATGATGATAGCGGTGATGGTGATGATGTTCTAATGATGATAGTTGTGGTGATGGTGGTGATGGTGGTGATGTTGCTAATGATGATAATGTGATGGTGATGATGTTGCTAATGATGATAGTGGTGATGGTGGTGATGGTGATGATGTTGCTAATGATGATAGTGGTGATGGTGGTGATGGTAATGATTTTGTTAATGATGATGTTGGTGATGGTAATGATGTTGCTAATGATGATAGTGGTGATGGTGGTGATGGTGGTGATGTTGCTAATGATGATAGTGGTGATGGTGCTGATGTTGCTAATGATGATAGTGGTGATGGTGATGATGGTGGTGATGTTGCTAATGATGATAGTGGTGATGGTGATGATGTTGCTAATGATGATAGTGGTGATGGTGGTGATGGTGGTGATGTTGCTAATGATGATAGTGGTCATGGTGGTGATGGTGGTGATGTTGATAATGATGATGGTGGTGATGGTGATGATGTTGCTAATGATGATAGTGGTGATGGTGGTGATGGTGATGATGTTGTTAATGATGATGATGGTGGTGTTGGTGGTGATGTTGCTAATGATGATAGTCGTGATGGTGGTGATGGTGATGATGTTGTTAATGATGATGGTGGTGATGGTGATGATGTTGCTAATGATGATAGTGGTGGTGATGGTGGTGATGGTGGTGATGTTGCTAATGATGATAGTGGTGATGGTGGTGATGGTGATGATGTTGCTAATGATGATAGTGGTGATGGTGGTGATGGTAATGATTTTGTTAATGATGATGTTGGTGATGGTGATGATGTTGCTAATGATGATAGTGGAGTTAGTGTTGATGGTTGTGATGATGTTGCTAATGATGATAGTGGTGATGGTGGTGATGGTGATGATGTTGCTAATGATGATAGTGGTGATGGTGGTGATGTTGCTAATGATGATAGTGGTGATGGTGATGATGTTGCTAATGATGATAGTGGTGATGGTGATGATGTTGCTAATGGTGATAGTGGTGATGGTGGTGATGTTGCTAATGATCATAGTGGTGATGGTGGTGATGGTGGTGATGTTGCTATTGATGATAGTGGTGATGGTGGTGATGATGTTGCTAATGATGATAGTGGTGATGGTGGTGATGTTGCTAATGATGATAGTGGTGATGGTGGTGATGTTGCTAATGATGATGATGGTGGTGATGGTGATGATGTTGCTAATGATGATAGTGGTGATGGTGGTGATGGTGATGATGTTTTTAATGATGATGGTGGTGATGGTGCTGATGTTGCTAATGATGATAGTGGTGATGGTGGTGATGGTGATGATGTTGTTAATGATGATGGTGGTGATGTTGATGATGTTGCTAATGATCATAATGGTGGTGATGGTGGTGATGGTGGTGATGTTGCTAATGATGATAGTGGTGATGGTGGTGATGGTAATGATTTTGTTAATGATGTTGGTGATGGTGATGATGTTGCTAATGATGATAGTGGTGTTAGTGGTGATGTTGGTGATGGTGATGATATTGCTAATGATGATAGTGGTGATGGTGGTGATGGTGGTGATGTTGCTAATGATGACAGTGGTGATGATGTTGCTAATGATGATAGTGGTGATGGTGATTGTGATGATGTTGTTAATGATGATGGTGGTGATGGTGGTGATGTTGATAATGATGATAGTGGTGATGGTGATTGTGATGATGTTGTTAATGATGATGGTGGTGATGGTGGTGATGTTGCTAATGATGATAGTGGTGATGGTGATTGTGATGATGTTGTTAATGATGATGGTGGTGATGGTGGTGATGTTGATAATGATGATAGTGGTGATGGTGGTGAAGATGTTGCTAATGATGATAATGATGAGAGTGGTGATGGTGGTGATGTTGTTAATGATGAAAGTGGTGATGGTGATGATGTAGCTAATGATGATAGTGGTGATGGTGATGATGGTGATGATGTTGTTAATGATGATGGTGATGATGTTGCTAATGATGATAGTGGTGATGGTGATGTTGCTAATGATGATAGTGGTGATGGTGGTGATGGTGGTGATGGTGATGATGTTGATAATGGTGATAGTGGTGATGGTGGTGATGTTGCTAATGATGATAGTGGTGATGATGATGCTGCAGATGCTGCTGCTGATACTGATGATTATGCTTTTGATAATGATGATGCTTTTGATAATGATGATGATGCGGCTGATGATGATGGTCTTGACGATGCTACTGCCCCCACCTCCCCCCACCTCGCCACCTCCACCCCCCACCTCTACCTCTACCCCCCCCCCCCCGCTTCTACTCCCCCCTACCTCCACCCTCCTTCACCACCTCCATCCCACCACCCACCTCCCCAACTCAACCCCCACCCCCACCTCCACCCCCCACCCCCCCCACCTCCACCCCCACCCCCCCCACCTCCACGCCCCTCACCTCCACCCTCCTTCACCACCCCCACCACCCACCCCACCCCCACCACCCACCCCACCCCCTCCACCACCCACCCCACCCACCCCACCCCCTCCCCGCACCTTTCCACCCACACCCCCCACCCCCCACCAGCCAATGAGCGTGTGCGAGTCCCACGAGTCGTCCCACGAGTCCCACGAGTCCCAGCTGCTGTGCCACTTCCTGCGGCTGCTGGGCGAGGCCAGCGCCGACCTCCACCACCGCGTGGCGCTGCAGAACGCCGAGGACATCGCGCGCCACAGCGACGCCGCCCGGCAGCGGAGGCAGCAGAGGCAGCGGAGGCAGGAGGGGGGCCCTGGGGGCGGCCCGGGGCCACGCAGCGGTGCCTGGAGGGCGGAGGAGGAGGGGGGAGGAGCGGGGTGGGGAGGGGCCGGAAGGTGAGGGGGGGGAGGAGGTGGGGGGGGGTGAGGGTGGGGGGGGATGGTGGGTGGAGGGGGATGGTGGGTGGAGGGAGAAGGTGGGTGAGCTAGGGACTGGGTGAGTGGGATAGTGGGTAGGTGACTGGGTTAGTGGGTAGGTGAGTGGGATAGTGGGTAGGTGAGTGGGTTAATGGGTAGGTGAGTGGGTTAGTGGGTAGGTGAGTGGGATAGTGGGTAGGTGAGTGGGTTAATGGGTAGGTGAGTGGGATAGTGAGTAGCTGCGTGGGTTAGTTGGTAGGTGAGTGGGATAGTGAGTAGGTGAGTGGGTTAATGGGTAGGTGAGTGGGTTAGTGGGTAGGTGAGTGGGTTAGTTGGTAGGTGAGTGGGTAGGTGAGTAGGTGAGTGGGTTAGTTGGTAGGTGAGTGGGATAGTGAGTAGGTGAGTGGGTTAGTTGGTTGGTGAGTGGGTTAATGGGTAGGTGAGTGGGTTAGTGGGTAGGTGAGTGGGATAGTGGGTAGGTGAGTGGGTTAATGGGTAGGTGAGTGGGTTAGTGGGTAGGTGAGTGGGTTAGTTGGTAGGTGAGTGAGTAGGTGAGTAGGTGAGTGGGTTAGTTGGTAGGTGAGTGGGATAGTGAGTAGGTGAGTGGGTTAGTTGGTAGGTGAGTGGGTTATTGGGTAGGTGAGTGGGTTAGTGGGTAGGTGAGTGGGATAGTGAGTAAGTGAGTGGGTAGGTGAGTGGGATAGTGGGTAGGTGAGTGGGTTAGTTGTTAGGTGAGTGGGATAGTGAGTAAGTGAGTGGATAGTTGAGTAGGTGAGTGGGTTAGTTGGTAGGTGAGTGAGATAGTGAGTAGGTGAGTGGGTTAGTTGGTAGGTGAGTGGGATAGTGGGTAGGTGAGTGGGTTAATGGGTAGGTGAGTGGGTTAGTGGGTAGGTGAGTCGGAAAGTGAGTAGGTGAGTGGGATAGTGAGTGAGTTAGTGGGTAGGTGAGTGGGTTAGTGGGTAGGTGAGTGGGACAGTGAGTAGGTGAGTGAGTTAGTGGGTAGGTGAGTGGGTAGGTGAGTGGGTTAGTGGGTAGGTGAGTGGGTTAGTGGGTAGGTGAGTGGGTTATTGGGTAGGTGAGTGGGTTATTGGGTAGGTGAGTGGGATAGTGAGTAGATGAGTGGGATAGTGAGTAGGTGAGTGGGTAAGGTGAGTGGGTTAGTGGGTAGGTGAGAGGGTTGGTGGGTAGGTGAGTGGGTTAGTGAGTAGGTGAGTGGGTTAGTGGGTAGGTGAGCGGGTTAGTGGGTAGGTGAGCGGGTTAGTGGGTATGTGAGTGGGTTAGTGGGTAGGTGAGTGGGATAGTGAGTAGGTGAGTGGGTTAGTGGTGTTGTATATATAGGTGTTGAAAAATTGATGAAAATAATGAAAATGTAATGCAATTTGAAATTTGCATGAATATATATCGGCAGATATTATTGTTAATATCAATTTTGGAAAAGGCTCATATACAACACACCGCCCTTTTAAAAATGATCGGTGGTCTGCCACGGATTATTTTTAAAATAAAAATGCCTTTTCCCATCATAAGCATTGATTGTCCTCGAGTTTGTGATTTTTCCTTACAACGCGCGCGTACGCGTCACAACTAAGCATGATTACATTTGAAATAAGAAAATAAAAGAACAGGAAAAAGAAAAAAATTAAGGCAACATGTTACATCGGTTCCTATCAATTATTGCTACTTTGATTTTTGTTTCCGTTCCTGGGAAACACTGGATAGCGGTTTCGAGCCCGGTGGTACACCGTTTCCCTCCTGTCACCTCTTTGTTTGCGGCTTACCAAGTTATTGGCAACCTTACTGCCACCTTTGGTCAAGAGTGTAGAATAATTTTTCTCATGGCCCGGCTTTTTAGAGTAGCCTGCGACCTTTCCATGCAACATCATCACATCGTCGTTTTGGTTCATCGTCGGTATGGCTTTAGCCAAATGAGCACGGTTCCCTCGGTTCGTATCAATCATTTTTTTTTATCCCTCGCATTCCCTGTGGGTTTATGTGGCGTGAAGCCATGTCGTGCGTAACCGGGGTCGGTACACATCACGAGCTTCCGTGCTCGACCGTTGGGGTCATTTGCCTTCTCCGCAGCCATGTGCAGATTTCCTGACTCCGTACCACGATTCGATCCCGTGCCACGATTCGACTCCATGTTTTTGCGTGTGCTGGATTTCCACACATTCCCTGATCCATCATGGATTTTTTGTCTTCGCAGCATCTTTCTCTGCTACATTTCCAGTACTCTCACGCAATTTCGCGACGCAATTGATCACGTTTCCATTGACCAAACAAGCATGTTTCTCCTCTCGATCCTCTTGGTTATCATTTCCTGTTGGATCACACTTCATGGTTATTTTCCTCTCAACCCCTGTGAGCGATTCGTCACGTGCCCATGTCACACTTAAGCCGCGCGTGCCCCTTGTGCATCGTGGAATTGGGCATCGGCGTGATTCTGCTCTTGGCCTATACGCGCCGCGATTCTCGCCATTGTGTGTCTTTGTGTGTCGTGGCCGCCCATTCTCTATGTGCCCCTGTCGATCGTAATTGTTATCTCGCTATCTGTGTGGGTAATCTTGGTCGCCTGTGTGCCGCTGCACTGGGTGACGATATGGTCCTGCTCTTGGCTTCCGCCCGTGGCGATTGTCGCAAAATTCGCGTCCCTGCACGCTGCGATCGCCCCTGGTCTGTGTGCCATTGTCGCGTGTAATTGCTATCTGGCCACCTGGGTATGTTATTACGTCGTTGGTAATTCGCGGGTGCTTTTCGTTTCCTGCACCGTGGGCCTGTGTGTCTTGAGTGCCTCGCAGGTGGTGTTTTGTTTCTGCTCCCGTGATTTTGATTTCGATTTCCTTCTGAAATGCTGGTTGCCTTGCTGTGTGTTGTGGAATTATTGTTCTTATCCCTGTACAGCCACGCCATGTGAGCCTTATTCACTATGTGGTGTAAGGAGGCCGTCTCTGGATCTAAAACCATACCCACGATTTCTGTAATCTCTGGACCCAAGGATCCGAAAAACATAATTTTGAATCTTTTGTCACCTTCGTGATACTGATCCACATCGCCCGCGTAGTACGCTCTTTTAAATCGCAGGAGGTAATCCCGAGGATCCTCGTCCGTGCACTGGGTCATAGATTTCGCAGCGTTAAATCCCTCGGACAGCGTTAGATATTCTCCAAACTTCCAAATCACTGCCAGGCTCAGCTTTTTAAAATCTCATTCGCAGAACAATTTAACGCAGAATTTCAGGGAGAATCACACACAAACCTTCTGCTTTAATCAATTTTATTTTCTAGCTAAACTTTAATTTTTGGATAATATGAAAACTCTCGATCTTGGAATTTCAACACAGCGTTAACATGATACCATCACGATTGCGTTGTTTCACCTCGATAGCGGCACCTGTGGTTAATTCCCGACGCGTAGCGCAATCGATCGGTTGTTGAGAGAGAGTTTAAAACATGGGAACTATTCTATCAAAACCTTGTAATGTAAATTCGTATTTAAACATTGCCCACACAGTACCACATCCATTCCTAGACCTTCAAGTCAATTCTTACCACGTTGTTAACAGTAGGACGATTGGTTATTATGCGACTCAATGACAGCGGTATTTTTCGTTACGAATTGATTTTTAATGCACCACCTTGGAGCGGCAACTCTTCTTGATTATCCCGATGTGCGTATCGTGCGTCTTCCTTATCACTGGTTCAATTCCTTGCGTAAAGCAGACGCCGAGGTTGGCATCTCTTGTGTCCAAAATGTGTTTCCTGCGTGTCGCGGCGCGGTGGGGGGAGTGAGGGGGAGAGTGTGGGGGGAGGGGCATACGAACGGCTTGTCACAGTTTCTGTCCACCGCTGGCTGGATGAGTCAGCACGACGCTCGCCGTCGTCGCGCCGATGATGGGTGTTGAGTGCGGGGGCCGCTGCCCTCTCAGCCCTGGTGACGCGAAGTTGCGCGCTGTGGCACGCTGGTGGCACGCTGTTGGCACGCTGTTGGTGCCGATGCTGGTGCTGATGGCGCGCTGGTGGCACGCTCTTGGTGCCGATGCTGGTGCTGATGGCACGCCGGTGGCGCGCGCTCCCTCTCTCCTTGAAGATGCGCGAACGCGCCCGTGCTGGTTCTGATGACAGCAGTTTCTCTCCACTGCTGGCTGAGCTGCTGCACGCTCTTGCTTGGCGTTGCTGGCCGCGCTCTTTACGCTGCTGTAGTATCTGACGCTGCGCTCGCGGGCGGCCGGTCAAGTTTTTCTTCTGCTGAGTGAGCCGAGTCGCACGCGGCCCTCTCTCTTTGTTGAGGTTGTTGGCGGCTCTCTGGCAGCAGGTTTCCTCCGCTGCTGTACGGCTCAAGTCGCACGCGCTTGGTCGCTGGTCGGCTGAAGTTGTTGGCGGCTGCTCGTGCTTTTCCGCTGCTGGTTGAGCCACGTTGCACGTGCTTCCTCTGTGGAGATGCTCGAGCGCTCTCGGTGCTGATTCGCTGGTACTGTGTTGGCGGCTGGCCAAGCTTTTTCTTCTGTAGAGTGAGTTGAGTCGCACGTGCTCTCTCTCTCTCTGCTGAAGTGCGCGAACACGCCCGCGCTGGTTCGCTGACAGCGGGTTTCTCTCCACTGCTGTATGACTCACTTTCGTCGATACATGGCGACTCAGCGATCCTCGCTACTCAGCGAGGATCGGAGCCAGCCGCTCCACGCGACTGCTCGTCCTGTGGACGTCTTGACTCGCTGATCTGTCTTGACTGTCTCCTTCTGTTGGACTGCCTGACTGAACTTTTTGAAAGTCGTCATATTCAAAAATAATTCTCTCCGCGCAGTGGAAAGGGGGGAGGGGGGTGGGCGCGTGGTCTGTGTGTGTGTGTGCGTTCGTGTGTGTGTTTGTGTGCCATCTGCCACACCCCTGGAGGGGGAGAGGGCGACCCCTCTTCGTAACATCAAGCTTTCCTCACTAGGGTGGGAAATTCCTTCCTCGCGCTCTGCGGGAGATGCAAAAGGTGGTCGGGGTTGCTTGGGATATTGTTTAAACTCTTTCGTAAGTTTGCCCGTTCGCCTCATTCCTTCTCGAAAACCCTTGCCGTGACTCGGTATTCTATACCCAAGCTTGTGATTTAACAGTAAAAGTATTAAAAGGTGAACATCGTTTGATAGCGAATTAATTATTGGATAAGGATTCACTGATGCATCTGGTGGCCTGGTCTTAATTGGAGTGATCGTGAGGATCGCTAATTTTATCTTATTCTTGTTATTGCATTTTAATTTTTAACCGTTGTTTTAATGACAAAGAAAAAATATGGTTTAACCCGTGGGCGTCCCTCGTGTCTGGCTTGCGGAGGGCTTCCCTCTGCGTGACCTCCCTTAGGGCACATCGAACTCTTGTTCATCTGGAGATCTTCGCCGATAGCTGCTAACATCCTCGCCTCGAGAGTTGTATTATTTCTTTATTTATTTATGGCCTGTTTATGATCTCCATCTGTGTTTGCGTGTTTTTGGGTTTGTGTGTTTTTATGCATTGTTTCCTTTATTATTAAAATATATATCGGCAGATATTATTGTTAACATCAATTTTGGAAAAGGCTCATATACAACAGTGGGTAGGTGAGTGGGATAGTGAGTAGGTTGGTGGGTAGGTGAGTGTGTTAGTGGGTGAGTGGGTTACCCCACGATACCCGTGTCTGTCCCGTGACCTCAACATGCACGTCGCCTGGCACAGGCGCCGCGGTGACGTCACCGCCACTTAGTTGTGAACAGCAACGAAGTGGCGGTAGCGACCCCCCTTCCCGCGCTAGCGCCCCCCTCTGAGGGACATTGCTACATCGCTGGCTCACCGCCGCACGGGGTTACTCCGCACGAGCCCGCGGACACCACCACCACCGCCACCACCGCTAACGTTCAAGCGGCGTCGCGAACGCGCACGCCCCTGCGGGCGATTATCTCCTAACACGCGCACGCCCCCGCGGGCGATTATCTCGACGGGCGTTCGCCCTGCGGCTCTGCCCTCGCTCTGGACCGAGCGTCCGCCCACGCAAGCGCAGGAATCGCGGACACCGCGCCGGCGCTCTGCGCTAACGTTTTTATCCACGGCGCAAACCCCTCCCCCCCCCCCCCCCCCCCCATCCGCTTCAGACAGAGGTTGTACCAAGGTTGCACCAAGGTTGTACCAAGGTGGTACCAAGGTGGTACCAAGGTTGTACGAAGGTGGTACCAAGGTGGCACCAAGGTTGTACCAAGGTTGCACCAAGGTGGTACCACCTTGGTACCAAGGTTCTACCAAGGTGGTACCAAGGTGGTACCAAGGTGGTACCAAAGTTACACCAAGGTTGCACCAAGGTTGCACCAAGGTGGTACCACCTTGGTACTAAGGTGGTACCAAGGTGGTACCAAGGTTCTACCAAGGTGGTACCAAGGTGGTACCACCTTGGTACCAAGGTTCTACCAAGGTGGTACCAAGGTGGTACCAAGGTGGTACCAAAGTTACACCAAGGTTGCACCAAGGTTGCACCAAGGTGGTACCACCTTGGTACTAAGGTGGTACCAAGGTGGTACCAAGGTTCTACCAAGGTGGTACCAAGGTGGTACCAAGGTGGCACCAAGGTGGTACCAAGGTGGTACCAAGGTTGTACCAAGGTGGTACTAAGGTGGGACCAATGACAGAGCTTCATCTGTCATCCCGACAGTTCTGTTCCTTCACCTGAAGAAGGCCGCTTGTGTTGTGGCCGAAACGTCGTGATTATTGTAGTTTTATTTTTTTTTACCTACGCGACTTTACCGAATAGAACCACCAAAGAGTATGGATCCTTGCAGTCACGAAAGCTTCAAATCTAGAATATCATGAGAACCCGCCGTGTTGAAACGGTGATCGGCCACGGCCTCCGAGGGAAGTCGTGAATCTGATTTGGTGCTCGCGAATTCTGGAAGGGCCGTCCGGCTGGCGAATGCACACCCTGCAAGTGTCCGGTCTGCGGTGCCGGGATCCCCTGACCTCATGTCCTTGCCTTGCTCGCTGAAGATTTCACACCGGCGCCCCCGCCTCCCCCCACCCCCCCGTTGTCGTGCGTGACTCATTGCGGCTGGCCCGTTGAACCTTGGTACAACCTTGGTACCACCTTGGTACCACCTTGGTGTAACCTTGGTACCACCTTGGTACAACCTTGGTAGAACCTTGGTACGACCTTGGTGCAACCTTGGTACCACCTTGGTACAACCTTGGTAGAACCTTGGTACCACCTTGGTGCAACCTTGGTAGAACGTTGGTACCACCTTGGTACCACCTTGGTGCCACCTTGGTAGAACCTTGGTGTAACCTTGGTACCACCTTGGTACAACCTTGGTACCACCTTGGTGCAACCTTGGTACCACCTTGGTGCAACCTTGGTACCACCTTGGTACCACCTTGGTACAACCTTGGTACCACCTTGGTGCAACCTTGGTACCACCTTGGTACAACCTTGGTCCGACCTTGGTGCCACCTTGGTACCACCTTGGTACCACCTTGGTACAACCCTGGTACCACCTTGGTACTACCTTGGTACCACTTTGGTACCAGATTCACCGGGCTAATTTAGGGGAACCGCAGTGTGACTTGACCTGTGAGGATCGGCCAATCTCCTGGCACCGGGGAAACCGCGGTCACTCCCCTCATAGGGGCCCTTCGGATGAAAACCCGTTGTGCCAGGCCATCCCTCGCCGGGACACTACGTGGGTGTGTGGTGCGTGTGTGTGCGCTGCGTGTGCGTGCGTGTGTGTGCGTGTGTGTGCGTGTGTGTGCGTGTGTGTGCGTGTGTGCGTGCGTGTGTGTGCGCTGTGGGTGTGTGCACTGTGTGTGTGTACAGTGTGTGTTTACAGTGTGTGTACAGTGTGCTGTGTGTACTCGGGGTGGGAGCTAGGGGGGAGTCGCGGCGCTTGCCCGCAGTTGTGGGATCAAAATGTTGTTGTTGTATTATTGTTGTTGATGCTGTTGTTGTTGATGCTGTTGTTGTTGTTGTTGATGCTGTTGTTGTTGTTGATGCTGTTGTTGTTGTTGTTGATGCTGTTGTTGTTGATGCTGTTGTTGTTGATGGTGTTGTTGTTGTTGATGCTGTTGTTGTTAATGCTATTGTTGTTGATGCTGTTGTTGTTGATGCTGTTGTTGTTGATGTTGTGTTGTTGATGTTGTTGTTGTGTGCAGGTTGTGCCCCGAGAATCCTCTGCCCTGGCTCGAGGATGCAGCATCACTCCCTCGCATCCTCACCAACCTGGCCCCAGGTACTGGGGGCACCCCCAGCGGCAGCTGTCCCTGTGCATCAGTCTGTCAGTAGTAGGGGGTGGTGATGATTGACTGCTGTGTGGGTCTAACCTGGGGGCTCCCCCAGTGACAGCTGTCCCTGTACATCACTCTGTCAGTAGTAGGGGTGGTGATGATTGACTGCTGTGTGGGTCTAGCCTAGGGGCACCCCCAGCGGCAGCTGTCCCTGTGCATCAGTCTGTCAGTAGTAGGGGTGGTGATGATTGACTGCTGTGTGGGTCTAGCCTAGGGGCACCCCCAGTGGCAGCTGTCCCTGTGCATCAGTCTGTCAGTAGTAGGGGTGGTGATGATTGACTGCTGTGTGGGTCTAGCCTATGGGGCACCCCCAGTGGCAGCTGTCTCTGTACATCAGTCTGTCAGTAGTAGGGGTGGTGATTATTGACTGCTGTGTGGGTCTAGCCTAGGGGGCACCCCCAGCGGCAGCTGTCCCTGTGCATCAGTCTGTCAGTAGTAGGGGTGGTGATGATTGGCTGCTGTGTGGGTCTAGCCTAGGGGCACCCCCAGTGGCAGCTGTCCCTGTGCATCAGTCTGTCAGTAGTAGGGGGTGGTGATGATTGACTGCTGTGTGGGTCTAGCCTAGGGGGCACCCCCAGTGGCAGCTGTCCCTGTGCATCAGTCTGTCAGTAGTAGGGGTGGTGATGATTGACTGCTGTGTGGGTCTAGCCTAGGGGCACCCCCAGTGGCAGCTGTCCCTGTGCATCAGTCTGTCAGTAGTAGGGGGTGGTGATGATTGACTGCTGTGTGGGTCTAGCCTGGGGGCACCCCCAGTGGCAGCTGTCCCTGTGCATCAGTCTGCTGTCAGTAGTAGGGGTGGTGATGATTGACTGCTGTGTGGGTCTAGCCTATGGGGCACCCCCAGTGGCAGCTGTCTCTGTACATCAGTCTGTCAGTAGTAGGGGTGGTGATGATTGACTGCTGTGTGGGTCTAGCCTAGGGGCACCCCCAGTGGCAGCTGTCCCTGTGCATCAGTCTGTCAGTAGTAGGGGTGGTGATGATTGACTGCTGTGTAGGTCTAGCCTAGGGGGGCACCCCCAGTGGCAGCTGTCTCTGTGCGTCAGTCTGTCAGTAGTAGGGGGTGGTGATTATTGACTGCTGTGTGGGTCTAGCCTAGGGGGCACCCCCAGTGACAGCTGTCCCTGTGCATCAGTCTGTCAGTAGTAGGGGGTGGTGATGATTGACTGCTGTGTGGGTCTAGCCTAGGGGGCACCCCCAGTGGCAGCTGTCCCTGTACATCAGTCTGTCAGTAGTAGGGGGTGGTGATGATTGACTGCTGTGTGGGTCTAGCCTAAGGGGGCACCCCCAGTGGCAGCTGTCCCTGTGCATCAGTCTGTCAGTAGTAGGGGGTGGTGATGATTGACTGCTGTGTGGGTCTAGCCTAGGGGGGCACCCCCAGTGGCAGCTGTCAGTTTGTCAGTAGTAAGGGAGGGGGGGCGGCTATGATTGTTGCTGTGTGGGTCTAGCCTAGGGGGGCACCCCCAGTGGCAGCTGTCAGTTTGTCAGTAGTTAGGGAGGGGGGGGGGCGGCTATGATTGTTGCTGTGTGTGCCCCCTACCCCCCTTCCCCCCCACCACAGGGCCACCCCCCACGCGTCCAACCCTGCTGCTGCGGCCCCCCATCGCCCCCGCCGACGACAGCGATGGGGGGCCGCCCTCCCCCGTGGGGTCGGACGAGTCGCCGCTGACCCCCGTGCTCCTCGACCCCAGCCCCCGCCCCTCGCTGGACCCCTGCGGAGAGGCGGCGGCGGCCCTCGGCGCAGGGGCCCGCGGCCGAAACGACGGACGCACCCCCGGGCTCGGAGCGTGGAGGGTTGAGGGCGGCGCCTTTCCCACAATGCATCGCTCCCGAAGCCAGGGGCGACCCCTGGCGATGGGGTTCACATGGGGAGACGTGGGTGAGAGAGAGAGAGAGGGAGGATCGCTCACCGTGACACGTAATTAATTAGTCTTAACACACAATCATTAATTAGTCTTAACACACAAACATTAATTAGTCTTAACACACAAACAATAATTAGTCTTAACACACATACATTAATTAGTCTTAACACACAAACATTAATTAGTCTTAACAAACAATCATTAATTAGTCTTAACACACGCACATTACTTAGTCTTAACACACACGCATTAATTAGTCTTAACACACAATCATTAATTAGTCTTAACACACACACATTGATTAGGCTTAACACACAACCATTAATTAGTCTTAACACACAATCATTAATTAGTCTTGACACACAATCATTAATTAGTCTTAACACACAAACATTAATTAGTCTTAACACACACAAACATTAATTAGTCTTAACACACAAACATTAATTAGTCTTAACACACAATCATTAATTAGTCTTAACACACAATCCTAAATTAGTCTTAACACACAATCCTAAATTAGTCTTAACACACAAACATGAATTAGTCTTAACACACAAACATGAATTAGTCTTAACACACAAACATTAATTAGTCTTAACACACACACATTAATTAGTCTTAACACACAAACATTAATTAGTCTTAACAAACAATCATTAATTAGTCTTAACACACACATTAATTAGTCTTAACACACAAACATTAATTAATCTTAACACACACACATTAATTAGTCTTAAAACACAAACATTACTTAGTCTTAACACACACGCATTAATTAGTCTTAACACACAAACATTACTTAGTCTTAACACACACACACATGAATTAGTCTTAACACACACACCTTGATTAGTCTTAACACACAAACTTTACTTAGTCTTAACACACACACATTAATTAGTCTTAACACACAAACATTACTTAGTCTTAACACACACACATTAATTAGGCTTAACACACAAACATTACTTAGTCTTAACACACAAACATTACTTAGTCTTAACACGCACACATTAATTAGTCTTAACACACAAACATTAATTCGTCTTAACACACATACATTAATTAGTCTTAACATACAATAATGAATTAGTCTTAACACACGATCATTAATTAGTTTTAACACACAATCATCAATTAGTCTTAACACACAAACATTAATCAGTCTTAACACACACACATTAATTAGTCTTAACACACACACCTTGATTAGTCTTAACACACAAACATGAATTAGTCTTAACACACAAATATTAATTAGTCTTAACACACACACATTGATTAGGCTTAACACACAACCATTAATTAGTCTTAACACACAAACATTAATTAGTCTTAACACACGCACATTAATTAGTCTTAACACACAAACATTAATTAGTCTTAACACACAAACATTACTTAGTCTTAACACACACATTAATTAGTCTTAACACACAAACATTAATTAGTCTTAACACACGCACATTAATTAGTCTTAACACACAAACATTAATTAGTCTTAACACACACATTAATTAGTCTTAACACACAAACATTTATTTGTCTTAACACACAAACATTAATTAGTCTTAACACACAATCATTAATTAGTCGTAACGCACAAACATTCATTAGTCTTAACACACAATCATTAATTAGTCGTAACACACAAACATTAATTAGTCTTAACACACAATCATTAATTCGTCTTAACACACACACATTAATTAGTCTAAACACACACATTAAATAGTCTTAACACACACACATTAATTAGTCTTAACACACAAACATTAATTAGTCTTAACACACAAACATTAATTAGTCTTAACACACGCACATTAATTAGTCTTAACACACAAACATTAATTAGTCTTAACACACAAACATTAATTAGTCTTAACACACACACATTAATTAGTCTTAACACACAAACAATTAATCTTAACACACAAACATTAATTAGTCTTAACACACAAACAATAATTAGTCTTAACACACAAACATTAAATAGTCTTATAACACAAACATTAATTAGTCTTAACACACACACATTAATTAGTCTAAACACACACACATTAATTAGTCTTAACACACAAACAATTAGTCTTAACACACAAACATTAATTAGTCTAAACACACACAATAATTAGTCTTAACACACACACATTAATTAGTCTTAAAACACAAACATTAATTAGTCTTAACACGCACACATTAATTAATCTTAACACGCACACATTAAATTAGTCTTAACACACAAACATTAATTAGTCTTAACACACACACATTAATTAGTCTCAACACACAAACAATAATTAGTCTTAACACACACATTAATTAGTCTTAAAACACAAACATTAATTAGTCTTAACACGCACACATTAAATTAGTCTTAACACACAAACATTAAAAAAATAATTAATCGCAGCGCGCTCTCCAGAACACAACATTCCTGCCCACTCAAAGCGAGGCTTTTCTAGACCAAACAATTTGACTTAATTTACTAATTAACTCATGCGTGCAACTTCTTGATTGCTCAATTAATTAATTAATTTTCGGCGCGTGCTGTGACCGCCAATCAGGGACGCGTCGAGGATTTGGGAAATCGACGTCACTGCCGGCCATCGACCCGCCACGTCAATCATCGGGCCCCGCCCCGCCCGCCCGCCAATCAGCGTCCTCCCTGCAAGGTGGGCGGAGCCGGGACGCAATCCAAAAACAAAGGTCCTCCGTGTAGCCTCAACAGGCTGCCGGGGCAAGTGCTGCCGTTAGTAGCAGCGTGGCTAGGAGATGTTAACTACCTCGCCTGGTATACAGGAGGTCGTGGGTTCGATCCCGACCCTGACGCCTGCTGTATATTTGGAGTCTCCGTATCTCTATCATCATCTCCATCATCACCGTGGCTAGGAGATGTTAACTACCTCGCCTGGTATACAGGAGGTCGTGGGTTCCATCCCGACGCCTGCTGTTGTATATTTGGAGTCTGCGTCTCTCTCTTATCATCATCATCACGGTGGCTACGAGATGTTGACTACCTCGCCTGGTATACAGGAGGTCGTGGGTTCGATCCCGACCCTGATGCCTGCTGTTGTATATTTGGAGTCTGCGTCTCTCTCTCATCACCATCATCACGGTGGCTAGAAGATGTTAACTACCTCGCCTGGTATACAGGAAGTCGTGGGTTCGATCCCGACCCTGATGACTGCTGCTGTATATTTGGAGTCTGCGTCTCTCTCATCATCATCATCACGGTGTCTACGAGATGTTACCTATCTCACCTAGTTTATAGGAAGTCGTGGGTTCTATCCCGACCCTGGCACCTGCTGTATATTTGGAATCTCCGTATCTCTATCATCACCATCATCACGGTGGCTAGGAGATGTTGACAACCTCGCCTGGTATGCAGGAAGTCGTGGGTTTGATCCCGACCCTGATGACTGCTGCTGTATATTTGGAGTTTGCGTCTCTCTATCACCATCATCACGGTGGCTAGGAGATGTTAACTACCTCGCCTGGTATACAGGAAGTCGTGGGTTCGATCCCGACCTTGATGCCTGCTGCTGTATATTTGGAGTCTGCGTCTCTCTCTCATCATCATCATCACGGTGGCTAGGAGATGTTAACTTATCTCACCTGGTATACAGGAAGTCGTGGGTTCGATCCCGACCCTGATGACTGCTCTATATTTTGAGTCTGCGTCTCTCTATCATCATCATCACGGTGGCTAGGAGATGTTAACTACCTCGCCTGGTATACAGGAGGTTGTGGGTTCGATCCTGACCCTGATGCCTGCTGCTGTATATTTGGAGTCTGCGTCTCTCTCATCATCATCATCATGGTGGCTAGGAGATGTTAACTACCTCGCTTGGTATACAGGAAGTCGTGGGTTCGATCCCAAACCTGGCACCTGCTGCTGTATATTTGGAGTCTGCGTCCCTCCATCATCATCATCACGGTGGCTAGATGTTAACTTATCTCACTTGGTAATCAGGAAGTCGTGGGTTCGATCCCGACCCTGACGATGCCTGCTGTATATTTGGAGTCTGCGTCTCTCTCTCTATCATCATCATCACGGTGGATAGGAGATGTTAACTACCTCGCCTGGTATGCAGGAAGTCGTGGGTTCGATCCCGACCCTGATGACTGCTGCTGTATATTTGGAGTCTGCGTCTCTCTATCACCATCATTACGGTGGCTAGGAGATGTTAACTACCTCACCTGGTATACAGGAGGTCGTGGGTTCGATCCCGACCCTGATGCCTGCTGTATATTTGGAGTCTGCGTCTCTCTATCATCATCACGGTGGCTAGTAGATGTTAGCTACCTCATCTGGTATACAGGAAGTCGTGGCTTCGATCCTGACCCTGATGCCTGCTGCTGTATATTTGGAGTCTGCGTCTCTCTCTCATCACCATCATCACGGTTACTATGAGATGTTAACTACCTCACCTGGTATACAGGAAGTCGTGGGTTCGATCCCGACCCTGGCACCTGCTGTATATTTGGAGTCTGCGTCTCTCTATCATCATCATCATCACGGTGGCTAGATGTTAACTACCTCGCCTGGTATACAGGAAGTCGTGGGTTCGATCCCGACCCTTACGTCTGCTGTATATTTGGAGTCTGCGTCTCTCTATCACCATCATCACGGTGGCTAGGAGATGTTGACTACCTCGCCTGGTATACAGGAAGTCGTGGGTTCGATCCCGACCCTGGCACCTGCTGCTGCTGTATATTTGGAGTCTCCCGTCCACATTTAGAATGCCCACGTTGGCCATGATGATGATGGTGATGGTGGTGATGATGATGGTGACACTAAGCCGCCACTCCGTGTGAGCCGCTATCGTTTGTGACGGCCAGCGTCGCTTCTGGCAACAGGAGCTGCTACACAGCAGCGCTAAGAGGGGGGGGGCTTACTAACCTCGTAAAATTACCAAAAAAAAACACTCGATTTGAAGCTTTCGTGAATGCAGGAATCCGTTTTCACCCGAGGACGGGCGCTTGTGTTTTGCGTTGGAAACGCAGTGAGTACGGACACTAAGTTTAAAACTTCGATTAAAATCTTTCGCGACTGCAAGGATTCATCCTCTTTGGCTCTTTCGGCGAAGTCACCACCACGTGGAATGAGAATAAAATAATAAATTGATAAAATCAGACGATAACAATTCTCACGACGTTTCGGGCCACAACACGAGTGGCCTTCTTCAGGTGAAGGAACAGAGCTGTCGGGACGTCAGAGCTTCAATGAACGCTGCTGAGATTCGCAGCGTCTTGTAAGCTGGGTGATAGAGGTTTGTTTTTGTGTTAGATCGCGCAGATATCTCAAAGTGTCGTTAACACCCGCCACTGCCCAACACAGCAAATTAGTAAGGTTCTGTAAATTGTAGTGTAGTGTATAGTGTAGTGTATAGTGTAGTGTATAGTAGTGTAGTCTATAGTAGTGTATAGTGTAGTGTAGTAGTGTATAGTGTAGTAGTGTAGTAGTGTATAGTGTAGTAGTGTATAGTGTAGTAGTGTATAGTGTAGTGTAGTAGTGTAGTGTAGTAGTGTATAGTTTAGTGTATAGTAGTGTATAGTGTAGTGTGTAGTGTATAGTAGTGTACAGTGTAGTGCACAGTGTAGTGTGTAGTGTATAGTGTAGTGTATAGTATAGTGTAGTAGTGTATAGTGTAATAGTGTATAGTTTAGTGTATAGTAGTGTACAGTGTAGTGTATAGTGTAGTGTGTAGTGTATAGTGTAGTGTGTAGTGTAGTGTGTAGTGTAGTGTGTAGTGTAGTGTAGTGTGTAGTGTATAGTAGTGTACAGTGTAGTGTATAGTGTAGTGTATACCCAGCACACACCCTGTCCTGTAGGGGCTGGCACTGCACGCCAAGCGATGTCACTACACCAGTAACGAATTGACACGTTCTATAGTTTTTATATTTACTTTTTATTCAAAGCTTTCGTGACTGCAGGGATTCATATTATTGGTTCTTTCGGTAAAGTCACCACCACGTAGAAGGGAAACAATAAAATAATAGAAATATAAACAAATAATTGTTGTGTTTTTCACACCTGATGATGATTGCTTGTGTTGCAGTCGAAACGTCGTGAGAATTTTATTGTTTTATATTTTTATTATCTTATTGTTTCCCTTCTACGTGGTGACTTTACCGAAAGAACGAAGAATACTCTTGTATAGTGTAGTGTATAGTAGTATAGTGTATAGTAGTGTATAGTAGTGTAGTGTATAGTGTGTAGTGTATAGTGTAGTGTATAGTAGTATAGTGTATAGTAGTGTAGTGTATAGTGTAGTAGTGTATAGTGTAGTGTATAGTGTAGTGTAGTAGTGTATAGTGTAGTGTATAGTGTAGTAGTGTATAGTGTAGTGTATAGTAGTGGAGTGTAGTCTATAGTGTAGTGTATAGTGTAGTGTATAGTGCAGTGTATAGTGCAGTGTATAGTGTAGTGTACAGTGTGGTGTATAATGTAGTGCATAGTAGTGTATAGTGTAGTGTATGGTGTAGTGTACACTGTACACTACAGTGTATACTACAGTGTATAGTGTACACTACACTATACACTACACTATACACTAATGTACACTACACTGTACACTCTAGTCCACTACTATACACAACACTGTACTCTCACCACACACTCACCACACACTCACCACACTCACCACTCTCTCACCACACTCACCACTCTCTCACCACTCTCTCACCACACACTCACCACACTCACCACTCTCTCACCACACTCACCACACTCACCACTCTCTCACCACACTCACCACACACTCACCACACACTCACCACTCTCTCACCACACTCACCACACTCACCACTCTCTCACCACACTTACCACACTCACCACACTCACTCACCACACTCACTACACTCACCACACTCACCACTCTCTCACCACACTCACCACACTCACCACTCTCACACCACACTCACCACTCTCTCACCACACCCTCACCACACTCACCACACACTCACAACACTCATCACACACTCACCACACACTCACCACACTCACCACACACTCACCACACACTCACCACTCTCACCACACACTCACCACACTCACCACACACTCACCACACTCACCACACACTCACCACACTCACCACACACTCACCACACTCACCACACACTCACCACACTCACCACTCTCTCACCCCCAGGTCGCTTCGTTCCCCTCGTGGAGGAGACACCACGAGGGGACAACCTCAAGACCCACCCAGCATGAGTCGCCATCACAACAACATCAACAACATCAACAACAACATCAACAACAACATCACCATCAACAACAACATCAACAACAACATCAACAACAACATCACCATCACCCAGCATGAGTCGCCATCACAACAACAACATCAACAACACCATCAACAACATCAACAACCTCAAGACCCACCCAGCATGAGTCGCCATCACAACAACATCAACAACATCAACAACAACATCAACAACATCAACATCAACAACATCAACAACATCAACAACAACATCAACAACATCAACATCAACAACATCAACAACAACAACAACATCAACAACAACAACAACATCAACAACAACATCAACAACAACATCAACAACACCATCAACAACAACAACATCAACAACCACAAGACCCACCCAGCATGAGTCGCCATCACAACAACATCAACAACATCAACAACAACATCAACAACAACATCAACAACATCAACAACAACATCAACAACATCAACAACAACAACATCAACAACAACAACATCAACAACAACAACATCAACAACAACATCAACAACATCAACAACACCATCACCATCACCCAGCATGAGTCGCCATCACAACAACAACACAACATCACCATCACAACAACAACAACAACACAACAACATCACCATCACTCAGCATGAGTCGCCATCACAACAACAACACAACAACATCAACAACAACAACATCACCATCAACAACAACATCAACATCACCATCACCCAGCATGAGTCGCCATCACAACAACAACAACACCATCACAACAACAACAACACAACAACAACATCACCATCACCCAGCATGAGTCGCCATCACAACAACAACATCAACATCACCATCACAACAACAACAACACAACAACATCACCATCACCCAGCATGAGTCGCCATCACAACAACAACATCAACATCACCATCACAACAACAACATCAACATCACCATCACCCAGCATGAGTCGCCATCACAACAACAACATCAACATCACCATCACAACAACAACAACAACACAACAACAACATCACCATCACCCAGCATGAGTCGCCATCACAACAACAATACAACAACACAACAACAACACGACAACACAACAACATCACCATCACAACAACAACAACAACATCAACATCACCATCACCCAGCATGAGTCGCCATCACAACAACAACACAACAACATCAACAAAACAACATCAACATCACCATCACCCAGCATGAGTCGCCATCACAACAACAACATCACATCACTCAACATCACCATCACCATCACTCATAAACATTGCCATCACTCAGCACCATCACAATCAGTCAGCACCATCACTCAGCACCATCACCATCAGTCAGCACCATCACTCAAGCACCATCACTCAAGCACCATCACCATCACTCAGCACCATCACCATCACTCAGCAACATCACCCAACATCACCATCACTCAGCACCATCACTCAGCACCATCACCATCACTCAGCACCATCACAATCACTCGGCACCATCAGTCAGCACCATCACCATCACTCAGCACCATCACTCAGCACCATCACAATCACTCAGCACCATCACCATCACTCAGCACCATCACAATCACTCAGCACCATCAGTCAGCACCATCACCATCGGTCAGCACCATCACCATCACTCGGCACCATCAGTCAGCACCATCACCATCACTCAGCACCATCACCATCACTCAGCACCATCACCATCACTCAGCACCATCACAATCACTCGGCACCATCAGTCAGCACCATCACCATCACTCAGCACCATCACCATCACTCAGCACCATCACCATCACTCAGCACCATCACTCAGCACCATCACAATCACTCAGCACCATCACCATCACTCAGCACCATCACAATCACTCAGCACCATCACCATCACTCAGCACTATCACTCAGCACCATCACCATCACTCAGCACCATCACAATCACTCAGCACCATCACAATCAGTCAGCACCATCAGTCAGCACCATCACTCAGCACCATCACCATCACTCAGCACCATCACCATCACTCAGCACCATCAATCAGCACCATCACAATCACTCAGCACCATCACCATCACTCAGCACCATCACAATCACTCAGCACCATCACCATCACTCAAGCACCATCACCATCACTCAGCACCATCACCATCACTCATCACCATCACTCAGCACCATCACAATCACTCAGCACCATCACTCAAGCACCATCACTCAGCACCATCACCATCACTCAGCACCATCACTCAGCACCATCACAATCAATCAGCACCATCACCATCACTCAGCACCATCACAATCACTCAGCACCATCACCATCACTCAGCACCATCACAATCACTCAGCACCATCACCATCACTCAGCACCATCACTCAGCACCATCACCATCACTCAGCACCATCACCATCATTCAGCACCATCACAATCAGTCAGCACCATCACTCAGCACCATCACTCAGCACCATCACCATCACAATCACTCAGCACCATCACCATCACTCAGCACCATCACAATCACTCAGCACCATCACCATCACTCAGCACCATCACTCAGCACCATCACCATCACTCAGCACCATCACCATCATTCAGCACCATCACAATCAGTCAGCACCATCACTCAGCACCATCACTCAGCACCATCACCATCACAATCACTCAGCACCATCACCATCACTCAGCACCATCACACTCAGCAACATCACAATCACTCAGCACCATCACCATCACTCAGCACTATCACAATCACTCAGCACCATCACCATCACTCAAGAACCATCACCATCACCATCACTCAGCACCATCACTCAGAACCATCACAATCACTCAGCACCATCACCATCACTCAGCACCATCACAATCACTCAGCACCATCATTCAAGCACCATCACCATCACTCAGCACCATCACCATCACTCAGCACCATCACTCAGCACCATCACAATCAATCAGCACCATCACCATCACTCAGCACCATCACAATCACTCAGCACCATCACCATCACTCAGCACCATCACAATCACTCAGCACCATCACCATCACTCAGCACCATCACTCAGCACCATCACCATCACTCAGCACCATCACCATCATTCAGCACCATCACAATCAGTCAGCACCATCACTCAGCACCATCACTCAGCACCATCACCATCACAATCACTCAGCACCATCACCATCACTCAGCACCATCACACTCAGCAACATCACAATCACTCAGCACCATCACCCAACATCACAATCACTCGGCACCATCACAATCACTCAGCACCATCACCATCACTCAGCACCATCACCATCACTCAGCACCATCACTCAGCACCATCACCATCACTCAGCACCATCACAATCACTCAGCACCATCATCATCACCATCACTCAGCACCATCACCATGACTTAACAACATCACAATGACTCAGTACCATCACCATCACTCAGCACCATCACTCAGCAACCATCACCATCACTCAGCACCATCACAATCAGTCAGCACCATCACTCAGCACCATCACCATCACTCAGCACCTAATCACTATCACTCAGCACCATCACTCAGCACCATCACCATCACTCAGCACCATCACAATCACTCAGCACCATCACATCATCAGCACATCACTCAGCACCATCACAATCAGTCAGCACCATCACTCAGCACCATCACCATCACTCAGCACCATCACAATCACTCAGCACCATCACTATCACTCAGCACCATCACCATCACTCAGCACCATCACCATCACTCAGCACCATCACATCAGTACAGCACCATTACCATCACCATCACTCAGCACCATCACCATCACTCAGCACCATCACTAAGCACCATCACCATCACTCAGCACCATCACCATCACTCAGCACCATCACTCAGCACATCAATCACTCAGCACCATCACCATCACTCAGCACCATCACTATCACTCAGCACCATCATCCAACATCACAATCACTCGAGCACCATCACCATCACTCAAGCACCATCACCATCACTCAGCACCATCACCATCACTCAGCACCATCACTCAGCACCATCACAATCACTCAGCACCATCACCATCACTCAGCACCATCAACAATCACTCAGCACCATCACCATCACTCAGCAACCATACACTCAGCACCATCACCATCACTCAGCACCATCACCATCATTCAGCACCATCACAATCAGTCAGCACCATCACTCAGCACCATCACTCAGCACCATCACCATCACAATCACTCAGCACCATCACCATCACTCAGCACCATCACAATCACTCAGCACCATCACTCAGCACCATCACACTCAGCAACATCACAATCACTCAGCACCATCACCCAACATCACAATCACTCGGCACCATCACAATCACTCAGCACCATCACCATCACTCAGCACCATCACTCAGCACCATCACCATCACTCAGCACCATCACAATCACTCAGCACCATCATCATCACCATCACTCAGCACCATCACCATGACTTAACAACATCACAATCACTCAGTACCATCACCATCACTCAGCACCATCACTCAGCACCATCACCATCACTCAGCACCATCATAATCAGTCAGCACCATCACTCAGCACCATCACCATCACTAAGCACCTTTACCATCACTCAGCACCATCACTATCACTCAGCACCATCACTATCACTCAGCACCATCACCATCACTCAGCACCATCACTATCACTCAGCACCATCACTCAGCACCATCACAATCACTCAGCACCATCACCATCACTCAGCAACCATCACCATCAATCAAGCACCATCACTCATAACCATCACTCAGCACCATCACCATCACTCAGCAACATCCATCACTCAGCACCATCACAATCACTCAGCACCATCACCATCACTCAGCACCATCACAATCACTCAGCACCATCACCATCACTCAGCACCATCACAATCACTCAGCACCATCACCATCACTCAGCACCATCACTCAGCACCATCACCATCATTCAGCACCATCACAATCAGTCAGCACCATCACTCAGCACCATCACCATCACAATCACTCAGCACCATCACCATCACTCAGCACCATCACAACTCAGCAACATCACAATCACTCAGCACCATCACCCAACATCACAATCACTCGGCACCATCACAATCACTCAGCACCATCACCATCACTCAGCACCATCACCATCACTCAGCACCATCACTCAGCACCATCACCATCACTCAGCACCATCACAATC